CCGAAGATATGTCCACCGCTGAATCCCCAGAACCTATAATATGACTTTATTTGGAAAAGGGGGCTTTCCAGGTGTAACTGAGTTAGGGGTCTTGAGATAGCTAGTATCCTGGGTTATCTGAGTGACTCCTAAACTCATCGACGAGTGTCCTTATAAGAGAAGAGGAAACAGAGGAGAAAGCCACACGAGACCGAGTCATGAAGGCACAAGCCGCGGGATGCCTGGAGCCATCAGAACTGGAGGGGGGTGGACGAGCCTCCCTTAGAGCCTTTGGAGGGGCCAACCCCGCCGACCCCTAATGTCCACTCTGTCTAGAACGGAGGGAGATTTCTGCGGGTTTAAGGCAGCAGGTTTGTAGCGCTTCACTGTAGCAGGAGTACAGGTTGAGCTGGTCTGGGAAGCCCAGGTAGAACTTGGACGTGGGAGGAAGCCCAAGAGAGAAGGAGGAACTTCGCAGCCCGAAATAAACTCAGGGAGAGTCTGTACCCATGTCGCAAGAGAAAGATGCTGCTAGGACGAGGAGGGCGGCTGCAAGGCCCTGAGTGGCCAGCTCTGATCAAGACTCCGGAGTCTGGGCTGGGATTGGGGAGGCAAATGGTGGCATGACTTCACTTTGGGGCTGAAATGGGGGCCAAGGACACAATCCGTGTCTTTTCCAAAACTCACCCATCAGAATCTAATGACATTTGCCTTCTATCTTTCTGAGTCATTCACTATTGATATTAGATGGTGTAATAAACGTTCAGCAAATCATGGCTGAGTTTGAGTTCTGCGTTTCTGGCCCATCACTTCCTACCAGAAACATCTCACCTGGGCCACAGGCTGGGCAGTGACCGCTGAGACGGCCCAGGCAGAGAGCTCTGCCCAGAGAAGGACGTGCTGGCCGCCCAGAGCCCCGCTCTCCGGGAGACGTGGAGAGCAGCACGCAGTCGGGAGTGAACTGAAGTCCCACGGCTCAGAGCTGCGGGTGGGAGGGGACAGCTAAGGGGTGCAACCACGTCAGCAGTGACCTGAAGTGAGAAGGAAGAAGGAATCGTGGCAGCAAAGAGCTCCGAGCCTTGGGCAGAGGAAGGGGAAGAGAGCAGGTGGCACAGAGAAGCAAAGACTCAGGGCAGCCCCAACCAGGAGAGCCGCTGCGACTGAGCGCCCAGGCCAGGCTCAGCCCCCTCGGCCACGGCCAGGCTGGGAATCGTAGCAAACCCCTCCCTTGTCCAGTGCTGGGGAGACTGTCCGTGCCCGGTCCACAAAGGGGCCTTGTTTTCACAGCGCTCACTGGGTTTCCAAAGGACATCAGGTGGGGCTGCGAGCCCAGAAAGGGGAAGACAGAGCCCGTTTGAGAAAGGGAGGGACGCGCTATGGAGAAGTCAGATCACAGTGCAGAACTGTTCGCACCGACGGGGCAGTCTGGCGACAAGGGACAGAAGAAGGTGGGCCCACGGAGAGAACCAGGAGGCCCTGGTGGATCCCAAGCTTCCTTTCATGAGCACCCCAGCCCATTCATCATCCTCAGAAGCGCAGGAATGCTGACATGTGGTCATTTTGGAGGCCAAGACGCTGATGAGGGACAGGGGAGAGGAAGAAAGAGGTGCCGACGGGGACAGGGGACATCATGTGGAGAGAGAAGTCAGTCACCGAGCCACAGGGAACCAGAGAGCTCAGCAGCAAGAGAGCCCCTTCCGCACCTCGAGCTCCGTGCCGGACCCTCCAGGGAGGGCAGCCCTGAGCAGGCGGCCGAAGGTGTCGCCAGAGGAATGACCTGGTGGCACTTGAGGGCGGCGTCTCCTAGCAGTGCCCCCCAGGCTCCTGCCACACGCCCAGGCTCAACCAGGAATCCCAGGGCTAGTTGGCTCTGCCCTCGGGAAGGTTCGGGCATCCTTCCAGCCCGGGTGCGCCATGGCCACCTTCTCGCTTTGGCCTGGAGGTCTTCAGGACACAAGTAGGGACACACACACACACACCCAAGTCCTCAGCTGCTGCTGGGAAAGCCAGCGTTGGCAGGGGGCAGACATCTGCCCCCGGGCACGGCGCTCCCCTCCCTGGCCACCCGTGGGCCTCTCTGTAAAGCAAACCACCTGCTCCTGGCCTGCCGGGCCCCAGCCTTCCACGGTCTCTACCAGGAAGCCCCGTCCAAACCATGGAGGAGGAGTGACAGCCCTGGCACCGCCCGCTCCTGTTTGTGTTCACTGAGGCGTCTGCGGAATCCAGACTCCTTCTCCACCCAAAGCAGGGAGAGTCAAGACAGCACCAAATAAAAATAGATTCCTGGCAGCTCCCGCAGCTCAGCCCCACGGCTCCTGCGCAGGCGGGCGGGGGCTTCCCTGACATCTGGACAGAGGCCACCTCCAAGGGACCCTGGAGAGGGACTTTCTCCCCCGGGGTCCTCTTCCCCTTCCTTCTGCTGAGTGGAGGTTTGTTGGATCGGGGAGTCTGATGGGTTTCTTTCCAAACCTCCGTCTTCCAGCCCTGGGTAGAGGCGACAGATGGCGGGCGCTTGCTTCCCGGCCCGCTGGCCTCGGAGGAAGGTGCCGGGGAAGAGCAGGTGACAGAACATAAACTGACTGTGGGGAGAGGGGCCCCGCGGCCTCCTCCCCTTCATGGCTCCTTCCGAGCAACATGCACAAAGTCGATGGCACAGGCACAGGTGACAAGACAGAAACGGCTCCCAAGCGGGCTGAGCGGAAGGGCCAGGCAGCAGGCCTAGCAAAGCACGTGCGGTCACGTCCCTTTGCAAACCACGGGAAAGTGTGTTTGGAGCAAAGGTCTGACTAGGGAACCCCTTC